TGCTGCTGAAGGACCGCAAGACCCGCTATGTGTGGGTGAGGCCGGTCGCCAAGAAGTCGGACGTGCTGCTGGAGTTCCAGAAGTGGCTGGTGCTGGTGGAGCGGCATGCGAAGCATTCGGTGCTGCAACTGCGTTCTGACCGCGGAGGGGAGTTCCTCGGGAAGGACTTCACTGCCTTCGTGGACAGCAAGGGAATTGTCCACGACTTGACCTGCCCTTACACCCCGCAACAGAATGGCATGGCGGAGCGGGAGATGAGGACGGTGGTGGAGTCGGTGCGGACGATGCTGCTGCACATGGGCGTGCAGCACCACTGGTGGCATCTCGCTCTGCGGCAGGCCGTCTGGGTTCGCAACTGCCTGGAGCGGTCGTCCCTGCCCGCGGGCACGACGCCGTACCAGCTCCTCACCGGGCATAAGCCCGATTTGTCGATGGCGCGGGTGTGGGGCTACATGGCGCAATTCCTCGTCCCTGAGCAGCAGCGCGGTGGGAAGCTGAAGCTCGGTGGGGCCTTCACCTCGGCGTGTCGGAGGAGAGCAAAGGCTGGGAGCTCCTCGACATCACTGCCAACCGGGTGGTCACCACGTCGGACGTGGTGTTCTACGAAACTCTGTCGCTAGAGGTGTGGAAATCGGACCTCGGGCCTGCATCGGGTCGGACGCGGGCCACCCCGCCGACGGGCACCTCGACGGCGCCACTTCCTCTGCTCGCCGAGGTCGGTGAGCGGGCTGTTGAGGATGTCGCGGTTGCCCCTGCCTCGCCATCTCCTGCCCCTTCTTCCCATTCCCTTCCCGTCGAACTGCGTGGCCTGACTCTGGTGTCGGCCTCCGGCGATGAGGGGAGTCGTGGGGCGTCGCCTGTGGCGCCGGCCAAGAGCATCGCCGGTGGCCGACGTGACGCCCAGCGAGTCGGGGAGAAGAGGACCGCGGATGAGACCGCGAAGGAAACCGCGAAAAACACCGCGGGGGAACCCGCGAAGGAACCCGCGAAGGAAACCGCGGAACGCGCGAAGGAGCTCGCGAAGGAAACCGCGGAGGAGATCGCCTCGCCGACCGCGGAGGAGACCGCGGCTAGCGGGCAGCAGACAGAGGATGATGCAGCAGTGAAGCCGACCACGGGGCAGTTGGCAGGGGAGCTTTCAGAGAAGCCGCCGATAGGGGAGTCGTCGAACGGGAAGCGCGTTTCAGAGGAGTCATCGACAGGGGAGCCGTCGAACTCGGAGCTCGCTTCAGAGGAGCGGACGACAGGGGAGCAGTTCGATGAAGGCACATCGAGCAACGTGGTGGAGGTGCAGCTCGGACCTCGGAAGTCGGGCCGAATTCGGAGGCCACCCGACTTCTTCATCCCTGCTGCCTTCACCACGGTGTACGATGTGGACGACAACGACCTGGAGTACGATGACGCCGAGGATGATGAGGAGTTTTCGGAGCTCGACCCCGATATTCACGCCGATCCCGAACACCGTTGGGACATTTCGACCATGATGGTGAAGGAGGCGTTGGCAAGCTGGAAGGGCCCGGCGGTGAAGGCCGCCATGCAGGAGGAGATTCGTAGCCTCATCAACATGGGCACTTGGGAGCTGGTCGAACGCCCGCCGGGGGTGAACATAATGAAGAACCGGTGGGTGCTGACAACGAAGTATCGCATCGACGACACTGTCGAGCGCGAAAATGCGAGGCTGGTCGTGAAGGGCTTCACGCAGGTGTATGGTGCTGACTACGAAGAGACGTACGCGCCGGTGAGCAGCTACGTCACGCTGAGGATTTTCCTCAGCATCGTCGCCGTCCTCGACCTCAACCTGATGCAGCTGGACATGAAGAACGCCTTTTTGCAGAGCAAACTCGACCGCGTGCTGTACATGTACCAGCCGGACCACTTCAACGACGGGACCGGCCGGGTGTGCAAGCTGCTGAAGAGCCTCTACGGGCTGAAGCAGTCGCCGCTGCTGTGGTACACGGCTCTCAACGACGTGTTGGTGGGCGCCGGGTGGAATAAGAGCCAAGTCGACGAGGCTCTGTATTTCAAGGTCGGCGACGACAAGGTGACCTGCTGGGTGCTGGAGGAAACGAGGAGGAGTGAGGAGCGGCGCGCTACCGCCCCTCGACGCAAGGAAGGCAGGCCGGGGCAGGCGAAGCAGGGAGGGGAGGCAGGGTCCGGGGAAGACCAGACACAAGGACGCGACGGTGCATGTCACGAAGGCGGGGCAGGGAGGGGTGGCCCAGACGGTGGTGCCAGAGAACGGTCTGGTGCGACAGGGAGCGACACGAGCAAGGGGAGTCTACCTGACCTGACGCAGACGCCTGACCGACAGCAGCGACCTGGGGCGACACCGTGGTCAGTGTGTAAAGGCTCGACCCTGGTGCACGCGTGAACGTGGCCAGGTGTCGCTAAGTCCTGGAGCACGTACAGATCACCACACGCTGTCCTCCAGGGGTGAAGGTATCAACCCAGTGGTCCTGAAGGACAGCGTTGCTCACCAAGTTTCTAGAGAACGAGGGGAGGTGGAGACCTGACAGCGAACCAGATGGGACCGCTGGGCAAGGAAGCACAGTGGTAGACCGTGCAAGGACTGGACCCCCCGAGGGGTCAGCCAGGGAGACTGCAACTGGTGCAGGGAGCGGTGTAAGGGCTGTGCTGTCACGGAAGAAACACCTGGAAGCACCTGAGTCAAGAGTGAAGGTGTGCAAGGCAGTAGAAGGCGTAGTACCTGACAGAGCAGACTCACCCGCACCTAAGGCAGCAGAAGCGGTACCTGAGAGCGCAGACTCGCAAGCACCAAGAGCTGCTGGCTATACCTAGATCAGGCTGCAGACACAGGTAGTAGTCACCCTCAGCACGAACAGACAATGCATACATGGCAGCAAGAATAGCATCATAGTCAAGAGCAAAGATGTCTACACCCTTCTTAAGCAGATCAAACCAGCGAGGGGTCTCAACCTCCGCACCCATCTCCTCACGCCAGGCGTCGTCAAGGCGGGAGAAGCAACGCTGCTGGGGGTGGGGCTTGCCGCATGTCTGACCAGCACGCTCACCGGTGCGAATGACATACGGACAGCGAGTACCCCCAGACGTACCCCTCTGAGCCAACCACTCACGAAGCTGCTGAGGCGTAAGGGACCGCTGCTGCTGCTGTCTCTGACCAGCGCCTCCACCACGACCGCCACCGCCTCCGCTGCCTCCACCACCGCCGCTACCGCCACCACCGCCACTCCCACCGCCGCCGCCACCACCACCACCTCCCCCACCGCCGCTGCCACTCCCACCAGCACCCCCGCCTCCACTGCCTCCAATCCCACCGCCACCCCCACCTCCTCCACCTCCTCCTCCGCCGCCACCGCCACCACCGCCCTTGCCCCCTTGCCCTTGCCGGTGCGGCGCCGCCCGGTAGAAGTGGAGGCAGCACCAACCGAGTCGGCTCCGAGGAAGTCTACGGCGGCAGCAGTGGCGTAGGAGGGGGCAAGAGGGGAAGAAGCGCACCCCTCAAAGATGGGGGTGCGAGGAGCGCCACGAGCAGCAGCCACACTAACAATGCTGCTCTCAGCGGCTAAGAGGTGCTCCTCTAGGAGGTCTATGGTGAGGTCGGAGGGACAGCGCGCTAGGAAGTGGTCCCTGACGGAGCGAAGGGTGTCAGGGAGGCGGGTCACTATAAAGTGGAGCGTCCAGTACATCGGAGGGGGGTGCTGGGCAACAAACTCCTTGCGGAGTGCGGCACGGACACGAGCGTCACAAGAGCGAAGGTGGGTGATGAGGTCGGCTACAGTGGCAAAGCTCGACAGCTCGGGGAACAGGTACGGCAGCATGAGGCGGCTGAGCGCATCAGTGGTAGGGGAGGAGTAGCGAGCGACTACAGCGTCGTACAGGGCCTTAGCGGTTTTGTGCTCGCCAAAGTGCTTGAGTTCCGCTAGTGGCAAGTGGTTGCGGATAGTAAGGCGGGCAGCAGCGTCGTGCGTCAGCCACTAAGAGCGCTCGCTAAGGGCAGCTGTGTCAGCAGGAGCGGCTAGGGCCCCAGAGGTGTGGTCAAAGAGTGAGATTTCGTCTTTGCTAGTGCTAATGAGGTAGAGCTGCAAGTCATCTAGCTAGGAGTCGAACTCTACAGGGCGGCCCTCAGTGTCGAAGGAAAGAACACGAAGGCTGGCCATAGTGCTAGGTGGTGACGAGCAGCAGGAGTAGTGTGCAAGCAGGGCGCGCGACAGGCGAGCAGGGCTGAGGTAGGGCGCGCGGTAGGAGGGCGCTAGCATAGGTAACGCGTCAGGCGAAGAGTGCGGCAGCAGGCAGTGCAGCAGGGTGGGCGGCGCGGCAGCAGGGCGCGCGACGCAGCAGGGCGGGCGAGGCGGCAGCAGGGCGCGCGACGCCGCAGGGCGGGCGAGGTGGCAGCAGGGCGCGCGACGCAGTAGGGCGGGCGACGCGGCAGCAGCGCGCGCGATGCAGCAGGGCGGGCGACGCGGCAGCAGCGCGCGCGACGCAGCAGGGCGGGCGACGCGGCTGAAGGGCGCGCGACGCGGCGGGCGGGCAACGCGGCAGCAGCGGGCGCGACGCAGCAGGGCGGGCGACGCGTCAGCAGGGCGCGCGACGCGGCAGCAGGGCGCGACGCGGCAGCAGGGCGCGACGCGGCAGCAGGGCGCGACGCAGCAGCAGGGCGCGACGCGGCAGCAGGGCGCGACGCGGCAGTAGGGCCCGCGTGGGGCGACAACAGGGCGCGCGACTCTAAAAGAAAAGAGCACCGCGCGCGGCAGCACGCGGGCAGGCAGGGCAGATCAGTACGTTGGGCCCACAGAGTTAGGTCCTAAGGACCTCCTGCTCTGAAACCATGTCAGAATGCTAGGCAGGAATGAATGACTAGAGGATGAGTTTGGTACAAAAAGGCAACCCTAAACTGGTGTACCCCTTATTTTCAACCCCACTACAGCCTAGACAATAACCTAAGCCATATATATGTTTGACACTCTGAGCATGAAAAATAAAAAAATCAGACAGCGGAAGCGGCACGAAGAGAAGGTGACTCACTTGATCCAGGTGTGGACGGCCTTGCCATCAACCACGAGCGCCGCGTTCTCCGTGTTATCTGAGTAGTAGCCGCGCAGCAGCATGTTGATGTGCAGGTTGCGATCCGTGAGCAGGCAGAACGCCTTGTCGGGCCGCCCGTTGAAGTCGAAGTGCGTGCCATGCGCGCCCACCAGATGCGGGTCGTTGAGAACTTTCGCCGACGGGTTGCACTCGCCGCCGACTCGCACCTGCAAATGCACGGGCTTCGTTTCCGTCGAAAACTGTGCCGTCATTTCTCCACAGGTGTAGTCGATTTTATCGTGGAGGAGGAAGCACGCGCCCTTGCCCCCCTTTCCGTCAATGGTTATATCGGGGACGTACTGCCAGTACGAGCAGAGGAGCGTGGCCGCGCATGTGTTACAGCACGCCTGGGGATTCGCCTTGGTTTGGGTCATGGGGTTACCAGGAACGTACAGCTCGTAACCGAGCCTGCTCTTTTGCAAATTTGAGGTCTTCCACTTGGCGGCGATTCCCCCAAGGGAGCAATTCGAGGGAGTGCAACCGGCCTTCCCCAAACCCCTCATGTTAGGGCATTTCTGCGAGTTCCAACCGGCTTTTCTCACGGCAGCCAGGAACACGGAATCTTGCGCGGTGTCGATGTACGTGACACCCGCCGCAGTGCCCGCAGCGACTTGCTTGGCGATGGTGGAGGGAACCTCAGTCATGAGCCCATCGTCCTTCTTGGACGTGGGGTCGGGCTTCGCGTTGGCAGTGGGGCTCATGATGGGGGCGGGTTTGGCGGCGGGGGCGCTCGTGACGGGGGCGCTCTTGGCAGTAGCACCAGCCGCGCTGAGAATGAAGAGCAATACGACGGAAAGCGCCAGAAGCGCGGGCTTGTAAGCCATAATTACGAGCGCAACGTGCGAATTACGAACACTACAGACGGGTTTAAAAGGAAAATTGTGTGATGATGAATGGGGTCTGGCGGGTGACTTTATACTGATGCTCGTGGAGCACCTACGAGTGGTGTTGTGTGAAATGAGACAGACAAGAGTCGGGTCGGGTCGGGACTCGGGCAAGACTCTAGTGGCGTCGATTCTCTCGCTTTGCAATTCGACTCGCAAATTGCAATCCCAATTCCAGAATTGAGAGTGTTTTACGAGTCGCAGGTGTTTTCGGAAGTTCAGGCGAGGCACTGAATTTTGCCAATTTTCGGGAATAATCACGCGGCTCGACGGTTTTGGGATTTGTGTCAATCCTGTCGACCACTCGTGCACCACGTCAGCACTATTTCGAATTCCAAAAATCCGATCGACCGACCCTTTTTCTACACTTGCAAGCACCAATTGGTCACCCTGTCACAAGTATTATTACTGCGTTAGGGTTTCTCGAAATTCGTAGGTTTGTGGGTGGTAGATTCTGTCGCGTTTTGCATATATGATTTCGCGTGTTGGTGCGATATGCCTACAATGATTACGCACATCTGTTGGCCTCAACAACTTGAACGTTTCAGGACAAGTTGCCCTCTGATGGGGTTGTGGGCGTTTTTCTCGCGCTACTCACGGTTGTCAGATCAACCACGAATAACACAGCAGCAACACTTCACGAGCATTCACCACGGTTTAGGACGCATGCATGAACCGTTCAGAGTGGTTTCGATCCTTCCTTACCAAGGATCGACTACCTCTGATCGAGTTTCTTCACACACGCTCTTTGACAGATTCTTCCTGCGTTAGGGATTAGGCACGCCGTTCTGTACCAGTGCATTTGAACAAGGCGACGAGCAGAAACAGAGGTGGCATTGACTACGGGAAGGACCAAATTGCAATATCTAAACCACTACCTTCACGACAAAATCATATCATGCGGGAAGTTACAGAGCACTAGTCACACCATTCTCGAGAAAGTTACGTACCTGTATTGACACACTCACTCCCAACCGCTAAAATTCAAACCATATCGCGGAAGCTTTTGTAGTGTCGATCGGATTTTTGGAATTCGAAATAGTGCTGACGTGGTGCACGAGTGGTTGACAGGATTGACACAAATCCGAAAACCGTCGTGTCGCGTGATTTTTTCCAATTTTCGTAAGGGCGATGGCAGGCGATTCGACAATTGTACTTCTGTATTCCCACACACTGTTGTGGCAAGGAATGAGGTGAAGGTTTAAGGTTTAAGATTTTATTGAGGTCGTAACCGTTTACAAACATGCTAGCAGCCAGATAAGGATACAAGCTATAGGCTGGCTCCCGCCAGGGGAGCACGTGGAGACACGTCATCCTCCCACCACGAAGGATGGAGGCACCTGTGAAGTGTGCAAATCCAGCTGACATGTGGCAGGGCAGTCGGTTATGGGGGGCGGAAGGGGTCGGTAAGCAACCAGGTGGCCCTGAGATCAGGGTGGATTGCCGGGCAGTTGGGTTCGGGGAAGACGAACAGCCGATGTCGGAGGGCGAGTTTGACCCGGTGTGTCAAAATCAGTAGGAGTAGGGCCTAGGCTAAGTAGCCTAGGCCACACGAAGACTAGGAGGTTGTGCCCTAGGGCTAGCAAGGATTTGAACGGAACAGGAAGAAATTAGAAGGAATGATTGCACTAGCAAGCAGGTTGGTACAAATAGGAAACCCTAAAGGGCTGTACTCACTATTGAGTACCCCACTGCAGGCTAGACAAATAACATATTCTGACACACCCCCATAGTCAAAGTGGGGTATGATCAGCACAACAAGCAGCAGTTTATAGTTCACAGATATAAGCAAAGCTAGAGGCTATCACAAAGGGCAAGTGAGGAGGAGGAGGAATTGTGAGGGAGAGAGAAGTTGGGAGACGACGGCTGAAGCTGCAGACACACGTGCAACAGGAGCGCGCACACAGTGGCTACCGGGACAGTGCCCCGGACTACTGGAGTAACTAGCTCGGCGGCTACGAGGAGCGGCAGGAGCAACGGACCCACGGGCGACAGGCACAGCAGGCTCTCTGGGCTACCGAGAGCACGACGGCTCCGGACTATTGGCGCTGCGGACGACACGACGGCAGCCTCCTCTCAGCCTCCCCAAACAGTCCCACCCCCCTTACACACACCCCCTGCTGCACCCCTAGCTCCACTTCCCCGTCACCCCCCTAGCGCCACTCCCCTCGGCTCCCACACCTCCACCCCCCTCAGCGACAGCTGCAGCAGTGGGAGACGAAGAAGGAGGAGGAGGAGGAGGAAGGGACGACGCACACGAAGCACCCCCACACCCGCCACCCCCATACCCTGAGTGGGCGGTAAGCGAGCTCAGGTGTGCGCGAAGCGTGCACAAGCGTGCGGGAAGCAAACTCAGGTGTGCGGAAAGCGAACTCAGGTGTGCGGGGAGGGGGGGTAGAGTAGGACAGAGCGCACGAGGGCGCGGGTAGAGCAGAGCGCACGAGAGCGCGGGTGAGACAGAGCGCACGAGCACGCGGGCAGTAGCAGAGCGCACGAGGGCACGTGCAGAGCAGAGCGCACGAAGGCGCGGGCAGCAGCAGAGCGCACGAGGGCGCGGGCAGCGCAGAGCGCACGAGGGCGCGGGCGAGACAGAGCGCACGAGGGCGCGGTCAGTAGCAGAGCGCACGAGGGCGGGTGCAGAGCAGAGCGCACGAGGGCGCGGGTGAGACAGAGCGCACGAGGGCGCGGGCAGTAGCAGAGCGCACGAGGGCGCGGGCAGCAGCAGAGCGCACGAGGGCGCGGGCAGAGCAGAGCGCACAAGGGCGCGGGCAGCAGCAGAGCGCACGAGGGCGCGGGCAGAGCAGAGCGCACGAGGGCGCGGATGAGACAGAGTGGCTGCACAAGGTCCAGGAGCGGCATCGCGGGCAGCTGCAGGATCGGCTGTTGCAGGGGCGGCTGGTCCAGGGGCCAGGGGCAGCCGTTGCAGTGGCGGCTGCTCCAGGGGCCAGGGGCGGCTGCTGCAGGGGCGACTGCTCCAGAGGCCAGGGGCGGCTGCTGCAGTGGCGGCTGCACCAGGGGCGGCTGCTCCAGGGGCCAGGGGAGGCTGCTGCAGGGGCCAGGGGCGGCTGCTCCAGGGGCCAGGGGCGGCTGCTGCAATGGCGGATGCTCAAGGGGCCAGGGGCGGCTGCTCCAGAGGCCAGGGGCGGCTGCTGCAGGGGCGGCTGCTGCAGTGGCGGCTGCTCCAGGGGCCAGGGGCAGCTGCTGCAGTGGCGGCTGCTCCAGGGGCCAGGGGCGGCTGCTGCAGGGGCGGCTTCTCCAGGGGCCGGCGGCGGCTGCTGCAGGGGCGGCTGCTCCAGGGGCCAGGGGCGGCTGCTGCACGAGCAGGGTCGGCGCCCAGGGGCGCCGCGTCGAGCAGGGGCGGCGTCCAAAGGGCGCCGCGACGAGCAGGGGCGACTCCGCGCCGGTCCCGCAGGGGCGTCGCGACGAGCAAGGACGGCGCCCAGGGGCGCCACAATGAGCAAGGGCGACGCCGCGCGGGTCGAGCAGGGGCGTCGCGACGAGCAGGGCGACGCCGCGCGGGTCCCGCAGGGGCGTCGCGAAGAGCAGGGATGGCACCCAGAGGCGCCGCGTCGAGCAGGAGCGGCGCCTCGCAGGGCGCCGCGACGGGCAGTGAAACTGCCATTCGCCCCGAGTGCGTGGCGGGCAGAAAAAGCCGCCACGCGCTCCGAGCGCGTGGCGGAAAGAAAATAACACGTCGCGCACCACGGGGCGCGCGACACACAGAACGATGGCGGAAGCAGTTGGTGGGCCCGTTAAGGGAAGCGGCAGGAACGTGCTCGCTCTAGATACCATGTCAAAATCAGTAGGAGTAGGGCTTAGGCTAAGTAGCCTAGGCCACACGAAGACTAGGAGGTTGTGCCCTAGGGCTAGCAAGGATGTGAACGGAACAGGAAGAAATTAGAAGGAATGATTGCACTAGCAAGCAGGTTGGTACAAATAGGAAACCCTAAAGGGCTGTACTCACTAATGAGTACCCCACTGCACGCTAGACAAATAACATATTCTGACACGGTATGCAGCCCGTGCTCTCTTCTTCTTTGACCCGTTGGATGCGCGCCAGAGAAGGATTTTGAAGGCCAGTAAGAAGAGGTTTAAAACGGTGTGTAGGGCTTCGAATGAATCATGGGGGGTTTGCCTGTATCTGTGGCTGCAGCGAGAGTTCCAGATGACTTTCGCTGCTGCACCAACCAATAAACCCCACGGAGCGACACGTCCTGCGGCTGAGGTCAGAGGAAATAGGGTCAAGGCCGCATGGGTGGAGATTCCCAAGTGTGAGCGGGCGGTTCGTTGAAGCGCAGCAGTGATGGGCTGGGCTACACCACATTCGAAGAAGAGGTGTGGTAGGTCTTCGATAACTCCTCTATTGCACCCGCCGCAGATGCCCTTGTCGGCTGCATAGAGGAAGCGTGATCTAGATGGCAGCGCCCGAGAGTAGAACCGGAACAGCACGTCGCGATGCGAAGAGGGTTGCTCAGAGAGGAAGTCGTGCATGTAACCGGGGATAAGGCTTGGTCCTGGGTCCGGGAGGATATTGATCCAGCGCTGTGCGTGCGGGAGTGGATGCTGCTTGTAAGTCATTTTCCTGATGGCGGCTAGTGACGGGGCGCCTTCCTGCAGAATCTCTAGCCTTGCCGCAAGCCCCGCTCCCGAGCAATAAGTGCCGCACAACCACCGATCCGTGACGAGAACCTGCACCATATCTTGAAAGGAGAGGAGGCATCGCGCCTCGGCTTCCGTCGAGATCCTACCGACTGAGTCGACTGGGTAGGCGATGGCCTGGAAGGAATCGGTTGAGAGCACGTAGTTAACTTCATAAGCCAGGCGAGGAGGAGAGTGCATTTCTGCCGCCTTTAGTACCCAGTCCCCTGGGGACAGGGGAACGAGGCTGTGCGAGGAGGAAAGGGCTGCCCACCACTCGTCCGGCATCGCATCGTAAATCT